TGCCGTATTAATGTACAATAAAGAACCACTAAATGTGGTATAGAAGATAGTTGTGACGAAAACAGAAATTTGGATGAATAATCCAGAGCATTTTATAGGCAAAAGACAATAGAAGTGGTGATTACAGTGAAGTATATAAACTATACATATTACAGAAAACTCTTTTGTTGTCTTTCCCTGCTCTCTTACCAAGGCCAGCTCTGGGTCTGCGCTGGGATCCACTCCAAACTCAAAGTCACTGGCGCCCAGGCCCAACACTGCACCCCCCTCTCCAGCCAGAATGGGTGAGGACAGCAGGGCATCAGCCAGACTGGGGCCCGGAGGCACTGTGACCAGGTGGGAGCCTGCACCCTCTTTGCCATTCAGTGTATTGATAAAGGCCGTCAGCTTCTCTGTGTTCATTTCCTGCAGGGGTGAGAAAGAATGAGGGTAAGCCTGTGGACCACACAACAGTGTAGAGAGAGCAAAAATATACACGATAGCACAGACATTCAAGAGATTGAGTGTGTGTGGAGCTTGATGGGAAAATACCTCCTCTCCAAAGTTAATGACATCCACGTTGACCTTTTCCTTCTTTAGACGCTTTGCCATTTTAACCAGCTACGGGAAAATAAAAATACTTCAGCTGACACAAATACTACATGTTTTATCAGGAGCCTGAATGTTATATTAGTACACTGATGCTATCAGCCAATTTTTCCCACGGATAAACAGGTGCCAGTGTTATAAAAACGCATTACTGAGTAAGCTGGATAACAACACTGAATAAACCTAAAATAGCTCTTTTTACATTAGTTTTAGACTTTAAGATTTTCTGCGTTTTAATCAGCAATATTATCCAGATAATATCCTCCTTTGTGAAGGAAGCATCTGCTGTCTGCACATTTCCAATGACAATGTAATGGTACAATTTGCAGAAAAGAAACTATTAGTTGTAAGTTGTGCTTAACTTCTTAAAAAATAATATATTAATGTTTGCTGTTGAGTTTTTAAAATCCTTTACATAACCCAAAACTGTTATTTTACATTTATGGTTTACATTTATGAGAGCTGGCTTAATTATTCAATTATGTGTTTATATTGCCTTGATGTATACAGGCAGGTGTTCACATTTGCTCAGTATAACTATTTATCATTATTACTATTCAGAGAGTTACGAGCAGCATGCTTTTCCAAAAAAATGCCTAACATCCAATCCAAAGAAAATCCTTACAGTCTGATATTGTTCAAAGTCTCCTCCCTAGTTATCAGTATCAAAGCCACAAATCCAGTATTTGCTGGGTAATACATAATAACTAATCAACACAGTGACTTAACTCACTTCTTTTTCGTTGTCCTCCACTGGGCTGCCAACAAATGCAATAATGCGCATCTTGTGGTTTTTGCCCTGTCTGTGCTTCAACGCCAACTACAGAGGGAAACAAATGAAAAAAAAAATGAACTGACAAATGCATTTATCTGACACGAGGTCCAATAGATCTAGAACAGACATTTTGGCATGTCATAACAGGAAAAGCACAGGTGTACTTTATAACATTAATGATGGCTGCGTATCACTGGAGAGCAGAAGCACTCAAAGCTGAGTTAAACCAAGTTTGTCCATGTTTTGAATAAAGACTTTAAACCTCTCCATATATCCTAATGTTCCTGAAATTCACTTCACACATCGCGACCCTTTTCCAGCTTCTCTGTTGGTTCCCTGCAAGAGGAAGAGGTCAGAGGTCACTGTGTAACAAAAGTCACAAACTCACATGTGCCACCCTGATGCCGGTGCAGAAGCTGATGTTTCCACGAGGCTGCACAGCATGCAGCTTGGACAGTATCCTGCCTGTGTCTGGAGTCAGTGTGGTCAGCACCTCACAGTTGCTGCGCAGGGACATAACACTTGTGTCATTATATTAACATATTCTGAATGTCAGTACACTAATTCAAACACACTGCCTCTTACTTTGCCATGGTGATGAGGCCCACATTGTTTTCAGGGTTGCTGCGGGTCTTGGAGTGACAAACTATATTAACTGCGTCCTGCTGAGCCTGCAGCCTGGTGGGCAGAAAGTCTCCATTGCGCATGTACTCACTGTTGTCCACACTAAGAAAAATGAAGAGCAGTGTTAACAATTACTAGCTCTATTTTAAAATGTAAATTACATAGATTGGATAAATACTGGTTGTTGATGTAGGCCAAAAGCAACTGTGTATGTGAGCACTGTGAAACATGAAGGGACTGGACACTGAAAGTTCATTCATTCATCAATTAGTTGATCAACAGAGAATTACTCGCCAACCATTTTTATATGTTGTAAGTTGTACTTTTTAAGAATTTGCTGCTTTATGTTGTTTTATAGTGTTGTAAATGTTATATTTGGGACTGTTGGGTGGACAAAACATGAACACATCCCTTTGAGGAAAGCATTTGAACAGTTTTCTTACATTTAACAACCTGCTAAACAGATACAATAGCTATCAATATATAAAACATTTAAGAACATAACTGTGTAGCCCCATTGAACACAACAATCTGAACGCATATAATGGAAACCGATTAAAAGGTACTATTGTTTAACAAACCAGTGTTTTTACGTTGTGTAACGTTACTCTATCTGAACGCACACAAAACTGAAAGACAGCGTCTATTTGCGATAGTAACATGTTAGCTTTGTTTATTAGATTGGTCAAATAAAGACAACAATAGATCCCACTGAGCTGAACCTTCAGTCAATGACAGCTTTACGTTTGTTAGCCAGCTAGCTGACCGATGCTAACGCGTGAAACAAAGCCATTTTTATTTAACTTGAGGCGCAACCTGGACTTCACATTTTACGGACGTAAGGTAAGACACAACACCGAATAGCGTAGTAAACAAATAACCCATTAAATGTTCATAATCGGACTAAAGAGCCGCTGTTAGCTACGAGCTGGAGGCTCCTGCAGGCTAATGTTAGGTTGGAGTGACTCAGGGAATAGCTCGAGCATCTTCCACCAAAACAAAACAAGTAAACCTGCACCAATGTTTGTGACAAACGGCGGCAAAAGACACATGTTTCCTTTACCAAATGACTGCTCATTTTAAATAGAGTTAGCCCTTTCGGTTTGAACTTTAAACATATCTCTAATTCCTTACCAGACCATAGTACTTTCAAGCACCATCTTGACGTCTGTTGTTTAATACGTCATCGGGAGGATGGTTTATGGGTAATGTTGTTAAACTGAAAATAAATAAAAAACACCACAAATGTTAAGATTATTATTTAATATTAAAGAAATTATGGGATACAATGATGATTTGGTTAGATCTGTGCTCATATATAACTTTACTTGCTGTGTGGGGGTACATTAACTGTATATATAAGGTGGGGTACATTGACTGTATATGAGGTGGGGTACATTAACTGTATATGAGGTGGGGTACATTG